TCCACCTTTATTCTTTTCTTTACAATAAGGCTTTCAAATAAGTCATGGCTGTACGGCAGTGAAGCATTGGTGTTGAGCACTGATGTCATGCTGTCGTTGATGATGATGATGATGATGATGATGATGATGATGATGATGATGATGATGATGATGATGACTAGTTTTGACCATGTATGTATTACCGTCCCTAACACTTAAGGTGGTGTCTCAATATACTTGACATCCATCCAGTCCGCAATGAGGGCTGCGACAACGTATGGAATCAATGATGATGATGATGATGACTAGTTTTGACCACCGGTGTATTACCGTCCCTAACACTTAAGGTGGTGTCTCAATATACTTGACATCCATCCAGTCCGCAATGAGGGCTGCGACAACGTGGTTATGGAATCAGCTGTGTGGAGTTTGAAACTTGCTCGGGGTGAACCAGAGCTGAATTGGACTCATTCTTTTAACATCCCCCTGGCTGCGTTTCGTGCGGAGAAGTTTTTTTTGATTCCGGAGATGGCGTATTGACGTAGCACCGGATGAACATGCGAAACTTTTCATAGCCAAAAAAGCTGTACTATTCACAGGTCCATATACTGCTTTTGTAGATGGTTGTGGTTCAACTGTAAATTTTCGTAGCTTTCGGCGAATAACTAGAGTATTCGCGTAGGCTTTTGTCTGAATATAAATTCATCTTAAGCGTCAATATGTTACAAACGTGCTCGGGACTCACCACGATGGAGTTCATGTGTTTGAATGGTCTCCGATGGGAGTGTTGCTGCCTAAAAATTATCATATGACACGGAAATAACTACCCGGATTACCAAGACAAGCCATGGTCATCTATGTAAACGCATCTCGATAAGCTAAAACATGCGTTTGGGCACCGTGATTGTGGTGTAGCTGCCTGTTTTCACTGTTCGGCAACAACATGTGGGCGCCCCACCGAAGACACAGAATGTTTGGGGAATCTTAATTGCGATACCCGTGCTAAACCCTCTGGAATCAGGTCTTATATAGATTCTAGAGTACCGGTGTTCCCAGACGAGCCAAGATCCACGGAATCGAGTGAAACCCTGGGCACCACAAGCTATTTTGGGTAGGCCATGCAAGCCGTTAGCCGCGTCCGGAAGCAACTCGTTTACGGTCAGTTGCAAAGTGAAGCTGGAACTTGACTGATAGTTATTCGATTCTACTGCTGTACTACCAGGTGATATTATCAGTGGTTATCTGACCACTAATTCACTCTGTGGTTCCCCATTCCAGCTAAGAGATTGATGGTATTTGAAGGAATATACAAGTGATGCCCAGTGTCTTAATGCAGCAGGGAGGATTCTGCCTATCTTTTTCATGCAGTTATGCTTAGGCAAGCCGTTAGCCGTGAACTGACCTCTGAGCCTTTACCCCCGGTACTTTGTGTTTTTATCAGCATCACTGTCTTGCACATGGCCCTTCTCCGCTGATGCCACTTCTGGTTCACGTAATGTGCAAAGGTTGATCGGCAGGTTCCTTTCCAGTACCAGGTATTCATTTGCTGCAAACAAGTACAGCCATCAACCAGCGAGGTTTGAGCAAAAACATATTGGTTTTTGCAGGTGGCTCGCAGGTATTTCTGCTTAACTTCCCGACTGTCTTAGGGTTTCTCGCGTGGTGCCACGTTTAACCATTGCTCTTTGTGCGCATGCGGTATTTAGGCCCGTCACGGGCAAGTAGTTATTGAACTCATCCTAGTATGTGGGATTAAAACCGGGCTTCACGTACTGAGAAATACGAACAAGAAACGCGAATTACTCAGAGGTTCGGCTCACTAAGAAGATAAATTTACAAATTGAAACTAGCTGTGCCAGTTTGGAACACATGAGTAGAGTTTTACTCTTGAAATCTTGGTTCGGCTTTCCATAGGGTCTCAGTTCAGTGCGAGATGTCACATTTATTGTTGCCCCCAAACAAAACTGGTCATTTCAAAAACTTGTGAAACATGTTACCGGAGATAAAGCAGTTTTTTTCTACTCTTCTTTGTTTTTACACGGTGACGCAGTTGACTGTTTCAATGAACCAGGACGGCGAACCCTTCGGAAGGCGAAAATATGTCTAGCCCTCAAGTTTACCGAGGATATCCTTCTGAATGCTACCAAAGTGGACAAGGCTATAATGCCCAGTACAGGCATTCCAGGTTTATGCCAAAATAACTCCGGATTGAATATCCCTCATTCAAGGACAGGCTGTTCATTATTATCGATTCCTCTTATTCAGCACTTTTGCTGTGCAGTCCCAACAATCCTCATAAATGACCCCCCCCCCGCAGAACGACCGAGCGACGCCATGACATACTAGTGCTCATTTATTTGTCCCTCCATTTTATCACACTCATTGCGACAAGAACCGCGTGACTTTCTCAGAGTCCTAATAGAGATGAAGTGTTCTGTGCCACAGACCGACAAGACTCTTTATATCCACTAACTAAAGAGTTCGCACCTGGTACGAGCAGCAATCGTTGGACTCATTGCAATTGGCTCGAGATAGCTCACTGGTTAAGGCGCAAACTTAGTGATGGAACGGTCTGTGGTTTGAACCCGACCGCGGTATTTCGACTGCTCCTGGTTCAGACAACCTGAAAATATCTAAGTTCTCATGCTTCTCTCGGGTGGCATAGCAGCTAGGCCTCGAAAGAGTACCGCACCTGAAATTTTACTAAAGTTATCATCATCATTACTATTATTATTATTATATAATTACGGCGTTCGTGGATAGTTGCGAGTTGATGCGTGAAGTGTAGTGTTCACTGATTTTTCTGGGATTTTCGATTTTTCTACTTCCATACTTCTCTTAACAATCTTATCCTTTCCCAGGTCCGGAAAAACTGAACGCTTGGTTTGTGCCTACATTGATTGCTTCAAGGAGCTTCACACCTGCATCAACCTACTTTGTACTATTCCACGGTTCTGTGATCACGGTACTCTCTTTCCCCGCTCCGTCTTCTCTGGTCTCCCTGAAGTCGGAAGGTGTGACATGGGGCCGTTATCAGGTGCTCAGGTGCACTTAGAAGTGACCGACGAGAACGACCAACCGCCATCTTCACAGGCGAGGAACCAGGAGGATCCAGAATTGGCCCGAGAATTGATGTATTTCAAAAACTTGCAAACTCGATTTGACCGAATCAAGCAAGAGTACTTTTACGGGAGATGTCTTGGTTTTTACTTCTGTCCCAGTGCTCAACGAATCCTACTCCTGCTTGGCTCCTTTATGGCCGGTTATGGTAACACGTTCAGTGTGAGTGAAGTGTGTTTTTTACGTCTCTTTTCTCTGAAGTTGTCACCACCCTCCGAATTATCACTACAAAATATTTGGCGGCAAGGTGACTAACTTAACTGCAAACTGTCGAATAATCACATGTTCATCCACATTTCGATAAGAGTCAGTTGCAGTACTTCGTAATAAACAACTGAGCTATCTGATGGGAAGAAAGAAAAAATCGAGCGGTATCAGATTATAATTCGTAGATTATTAGCCCTCTCTGGGATTAGTGTGGCACACAACACGATCTAATGGTCATCTGGTAACAACGTTTGTGGCCATTTGTGCAGTGGGATTGTTATAGCTTCAGTGTGTGGTGAGACGCAACAATCAGTGTGAAAAGAATCTACCCAGCCCAGTCCGAATTGGTTATATTTCGATTTCGAGATCCCCTGTCATATGTTCCATTTACCTAATATAATATTGATAGTGTGAGGGGTTTGAGAAGTTTTGAACGTAAATTTCATCCTTCAAGTGAAGCCAACGTATCCTGAAGGGCTTGAAGGCACTGTCTCGCACTTGGACAGGATGTAATGCCACTCATCCTTCAATCACTGAATCCACTTCGCGTGTTGACTGGAGTGACGATGTCTCAGGTGGAAGTTTCACTCGGTTTGTGAAATTATCCCTTCTCTGGACTACTCATAAACTAATGGCAGTGTGAGGAGATTTGGGAACTTTCAGTGAAGATTTCTTCCTATCAGTGAGGCCAATCATCGCTCAAAAGCCGAGAAGCACTGTACAGCTGTTTATCCTTATTAAGAATCATCAGCAGTGGACATCTCACGAAACTCGGCCGATCTGCCGGGTGATTAGCTCGCGCGTAGAATAAAGCACCACTCACCCCTTTCCATTCAAAATTCCAAAATCTCATACTACCAACAAGCTTTAGGTAGCTCACAGAAAGAGTAAGATTCACCCAATACGTGAAACTTCCATTTGAGAAGTCATCACTCGTGGAGCCAGTTGACATATAGCCATGATGGAGGTCTGAGTAATTCTATATCCTGTTTACTTGATGTAATCGAACTGCCGACCAGCCGTTTGTTACCGAATGGCTAAGTTTTCAAACCGTTAACCGTCAGGTCATTGGTTCGAGGCTCTGTAGTTCCGTGAGATGCCCAGTGCTGACGATTCCCAATAAGGATTATTCGGTTGCACGGTGCTTCTCTGCGTTTCAGCATAAATTAGCCGTATAATGGTCATCAGCTGGTGTGACTGTTACCTCAGAGGAAACTGCACTCGTTATTGTTGTCGCGTTGTTAGGTTTATCCAGTTTTTCCTCCTCCCAGTCTAATTGTTTACTTACACTCATTCCAGGCGATTGCGTCGTTAGGACCGCCCACTTGCCGTACAGTGGTTGTGGCTGTCATAGTTTCACCCATCCTTGATTTTGCGAAATAGAGTAGGTAGCCACACAGTGGGGGCGGGAGCTGATAAATTGGTACTTAAGTACAGGTCTGCCAGTGGACTTTTCAGCGGAGAGATTGGGAAGGGAGCTATGCATTAAAGACAGCAGCCTGAATGCACAAATGCCATTGAGGGCGCCACTGGGCCATGTCTGATAATGTCTTCAACCACTGATGTGTCCCATCTCGGGGTCCCCATCCAAGGAGATGGAAATGACTAGCGCAACTGAATTTGCCGGTAATGGCTTTTATACTTCGCTACCAAGTCATTGTTTGACCTCCTCTGGCCTCCAACCATTCAGGTAGTTTTGCGAAAAGAGTCTTTCGTGGAAGGCGGTCGGCTGGAATACGAAACACGTGAGCAAGCCAACACAACTTATGAAATGTAATCAGTTCATCTATCGTGGGAAGTCTTTCGAAGCACTTCAGCATTACTGACCGGGTGTTTCCACCAGACTCGGGCAGTGCTCTGAAGACACCAATGGTCAAACAGTGACGTCCTCGGTGTGCATCGGACTCGGTGTGTCTGACCCGTATAATAATATGGATCGAACCTTGCCGGATAAGCCGATGTCACGCCTACGCTGCAAGTGATGCAGGTTCACGAAAGCAGCTGTGGCCTCCCAAATCCGGATTAAAATATCTTCTTTCGCGAGACTACCGGGACTGGTACAGCTGCCTAGGTAGGCAAAAGTGTTTACTACCTCAGTCGGCTCACCGCAGGTACGAGGCTATGGTCGGAGCCCACGCAGTCTTGCAGCAGCATTTTACACTTTGCAGGTGTGAAGCACATATCAAACCGGGACGTGAATTGTTTCGACTATTTAATGTTTGTATTTCCATGTTGTCACATCCAAGAAGAGCTATATCTTCTGTGTACTCGATACCTGTGAGTGGACATCCCGAGAGTACTTTGACCTCACAGGCATTAGAGGCTGGTAGTGAGCCTCATGATCATATTAATGACGAAGTTGAAGAAGAGAGATGAAATGGGATGGCCTTGACTGACGCCACGTGATGTGGTGAACTCAGGTGAGAGCTTAACGTGGACCTTCACACGTCCATAGAAGTTAGCATACAGCGCCTTTAGTAGGATCAAGGATTTATGGGGAACAATTTTGCTCCAGATTGGGAAGGGAGCTATGCATTAAAGACAGCAGCCTGAATGCACAAATGCCATTGAGGGCGCCACTGGGCCATGTCTGATAATGTCTTCAACCACTGATGTGTCCCATCTCGGGGTCCCCATCCAAGGAGATGGAAATGACTAGCGCAACTGAATTTGCCGGTAATGGCTTTTATACTTCGCTACCAAGTCATTGTTTGACCTCCTCTGGCCTCCAACCATTCAGGTAGTTTTGCGAAAAGAGTCTTTCGTGGAAGGCGGTCGGCTGGAATACGAAACACGTGAGCAAGCCAACACAACTTATGAAATGTAATCAGTTCATCTATCGTGGGAAGTCTTTCGAAGCACTTCAGCATTACTGACCGGGTGTTTCCACCAGACTCGGGCAGTGCTCTGAAGACACCAATGGTCAAACAGTGACGTCCTCGGTGTGCATCGGACTCGGTGTGTCTGACCCGTATAATAATATGGATCGAACCTTGCCGGATAAGCCGATGTCACGCCTACGCTGCAAGTGATGCAGGTTCACGAAAGCAGCTGTGGCCTCCCAAATCCGGATTAAAATATCTTCTTTCGCGAGACTACCGGGACTGGTACAGCTGCCTAGGTAGGCAAAAGTGTTTACTACCTCAGTCGGCTCACCGCAGGTACGAGGCTATGGTCGGAGCCCACGCAGTCTTGCAGCAGCATTTTACACTTTGCAGGTGTGAAGCACATATCAAACCGGGACGTGAATTGTTTCGACTATTTAATGTTTGTATTTCCATGTTGTCACATCCAAGAAGAGCTATATCTTCTGTGTACTCGATACCTGTGAGTGGACATCCCGAGAGTACTTTGACCTCACAGGCATTAGAGGCTGGTAGTGAGCCTCATGATCATATTAATGACGAAGTTGAAGAAGAGAGATGAAATGGGATGGCCTTGACTGACGCCACGTGATGTGGTGAACTCAGGTGAGAGCTTAACGTGGACCTTCACACGTCCATAGAAGTTAGCATACAGCGCCTTTAGTAGGATCAAGGATTTATGGGGAACAATTTTGCTCCACAGACACCGTCATAGAGCCTGGTGGTCCACAGAGTCCAACGTAGGTTTCAGGTCAAAGAAGGCAACCATTTTTGGGCGCTGTTCTATAATCTGTCGTAGGGTTAAAATATGGTCGACGTATCCTATTACAGAACGGGACCCAGCTTGGTTTTTACGGATGTCTCTACCTATGTTCAGTCAACCTTCGAAAGATAAGACCAGGAAGCACCTTCGATGTCACAGCTACCAAGCTGATGCCATGGTGGTCTGCACACGGCGTCTGCGCACCCTTTCCGAAGACGTGAATAACTCTCGACGTGCTCCATTCTTCAGGCAGTTTGTCTTGGCTCCATATCGCATCAATAAGCTTTATTACATGGTTCACATAGATTATTCGCCTTATGTGAAGAGAGCAGGATGCAGACCATCCGGTTCTGCTAACTTCCCACGTTTCAGCAGACATATTTCAAACGTAATTTCTTCCGAAGTGCAAGTGAAGTTTACGTTCCTTTAACACATGAATTGTCTCCAGAGGCTGTGTTGCAGGAGGCCAACTAAACTGTTCACCATCTTTCCAGTTGGTGATTCAGCGAGTGGGTTAATGAACCGCTATTTTCACTTGTCGTTTCACTGACAGTTGCGTTCCTCGGGCCAGCCGATCGTATCAGTTAATATAGGTCTGGGGGTCTTGCGGCTGACTCAGCAACCTGATATAGTGCATTACCCACACGACTGCTGTATCATACCGTCACGAAGAAGCTGAACCTTACCGTGTGCGATCCATTGAGCTATACTGGAGAGTGTCCCGCGACACTCACAGTCTCTCATACCAGGTTGGTCAATGGTTAGAGGTCTGACGAACACAGTTTCCTGGCCCTCCATGTTGGGTGTTGGCGACTTGTTCCGAGAAATGGTAATGCATTTGCATTTTCCGCCAAACACCGTTGCCTTGCGGTTAGGCTTTTGAGCCAAAGGCTTTGGTTGAGGACCCTAATCGTCTTCCTATCTAGGTGTTGGCGCCCTGGCAGTATCTCAGCCCACGTGCAACTATTACACTTACAACTAACCATACTCTCATGCCACATTGTCTATCGCGTGGCGCCATCAGCCAGGTCGCCTTACTCGATGCATACAGCAGGGCGGTTTGGCGACAACAGGCTACTTCTGACGCCTCCCTTCTCTCTTGTTCACATATTTTTCTCCCCTCCCCACCCCATTAATAACTCTCTTCTCGTAGGCCTAGCACTTAGGACTGATGACTCCGTTCATCATGCGCTGGTTTTACGCGCAACACCTGTTCGTCACACGCCGCCGATATCCTTAGGTTTCTCCAAATCAATCTTCAAGCCTCGTAGCCCAGACTATCCGGCCGCCTTCAATGTCCGCACTCTGAAGCAAGCAGGACAACAAGCTGCTCTTGCACCCACACTGGACTCGCTTGGCATTGATGTGTGCTGTGTCTCAAAAACGAGAATTCAAGATTCAAGCACAGTGATTGAGTTAACCGCCCCGTCAGTCTCCACTCGCCTCCGGCTGCGCACCTCTGGTGATCCAGAGACTGCTGCGGTGGGATGTGCAGGGGTTGGTATTGTGCTAAGTCACCGGGCGGAAGTATCCTTACTTGACTGGATACCTGTTGATAGTCGCCTCTGTGCGGTTCGTCTGGCAACGTCTGTGAAGGAGTCTCACAAGCGGCAAGTTGATAGATGTCTGTTTATCGTGTCTGCCTATGCCCCAACTGATTGTAGCTCTGACACCGTCAAAGACGGGTTTTACGACGCCCTGAATGCTCTGCTGCGGCGAGCTAAAAGCTCAGACACTGTGGTGGTTGCCGGAGATATGAATGCGCAAGTGGGCAGGCTCAGTGCATCTGAGACTCAATTAGGAGGTTGACATGGACTGGACTCGTTACGTACGGACAATGGGGAACGATTGCTTCAGCTGTGTGCTGATCGCAGGCTGTCTTTATGCAGTACTAACTTCCGAAATAGCCGAAATCGTCTGGCCACTTGGTGTCCTCCATCGGCAGGCCGGCCACAAACTCAAATCGACCACATTGCCATCAGTTACCGATGGCGCGGGTCCATAACTGACTGCCGGTTGTTTTGGAACACATTTGTGGACTCTGACCACGCGCTCGTCCGGAGTCGCCTCGCCCCACGTTTCCCGGGGTCGCGTAAGGTGCGAACAAATCGCATGGCAACTGAGAGGCTGGCAGATCCGGATGTTAGACTAACTTACAAGAATCGTCTTCTAGAGTCTCTTCCCAGTGCTCCACCATCAGATGCGAACTCGCACTGGGACGAGGTGGCCGTGTCTTTGTATATTGCTAGGAATTTTTCCTATGGAACGGCACCACCAGGCGCACCCAAGCCCTGGATATCAAACGGAACCGTGGCACTACTGAAATCTCGGAGAAATATCCCAACCGGCGGAGAATTATCAGAAGTCAATTAAAAGTGGGCGTGCGAGCCGACCGTGAAGTATGGTGGACACAGAAAACCAAAGAAATGGAAGAGACCCAGAAAGCCGGTAATGCCCGGAGATTATTTCAATTGATCCGTGCGACCGGCCACCGGAAACCACCTTGGGCGAATCTATCAAGCAACGGGATGGAGGGACCATCTCGAATAAAGAAGAACACCGCGATCGGTGGGCTGAATACTTCGAACAACAACTGTTGTGGCCACAAGCTGACACTCATCTAGAACCCACAGGTGATGTAGAACCGTGGACGGTGAACGTTCAACCACCTATGGCCTCGGAGGTTTACGACTGCATATGTTCTCTCAAACGCCACCGAGCTTCTGGTCCGGATGACCTCACACCCGCATTGTTCAAAGACAGAGACGAAATCCTGAGTCAACGCTTGTCTGATTTGTTTGCTTGCATCTGGGTAAAAGAGCCTGTCCCAGACAACTGGGAAGGGTCGGTGATCAAAAAAGGGGCGCGTAGTGAGTGCGGCAACCACAGGGGGATCAGCTTGACCCCGGTTGTAACGAGACTGTTGGCGTCAATTGTGCTTCGTCGCCTGAGGATGGCTCGTGAGATACTGACTCGAGAGCAGCAAGCGGGATTCCGGCCTGGTAGGGGTTGTGTTGACCAAATCTTCACACTTCGTCTGGTGCGAGAACAACGCCACAATTCTAGTGTTCCTGAATTTCTAAGGCGCATTTGACTCGGCTGATCGGTCTGTTCTTCTTGACACGATTGCCGATCAAGGAATGTTCCGAAAATTTGTAAACATAATAAATTCTTTGTATTCTCATACTTCCGGACGTGTGGGAGTATACGGAGAGCTCTCCGGAAGCTTCCGTACACACAGTGGTGTCCGTCAGGGATCTCCACTCTCTCCATTCCTTTTTAACTTCGTGATCGATGAGAATGAGACGAAGGTAGGTAGGTCTCCAAAACCCTGGTGTGAAGAAAATTTTGTCGATCTGGTGTCCGCAGATGGTGTCGTTCGCATCTCCGAAGAGGAGGGGGCGCAAGTGTTTTTGGATGAACTGACCAAAGTCATCACGTCTTTTGGTATGCACTTTACACCTGCAAAGTGTAAGGTCATGCTTGTGGACGTGAAGTCACTGAACACGCTACTTCAAATCCAGGGAGAGGTGCTAGTTGTATTAGTTCTGATTGTAGTGTGACAGATGAGGTGAATGCACGAATATGCAAGGCTCGGGTCGCGTTTGCTAATTTGAGATACCTATGGCGTCAGAGTGGTTTATCCCTGAATCTGAAGTGACGTGTGTCTCAAGCTACAGTACGGGCTGTTTTGTTGTGTGACTATGAGACGGCCTATTCTAGCAGCGGACCTGAGACGTCTTCAGGTGTTCGACAATCGTTGTCTCAAAACAATAGCTGGTGTGGGTTGGTATTGGCGTATCCGTAACGAGGTAATTAGAAAGAGAGTGTTCGGTTGTGCAACGTGTACTTCAATTGGAGAATGTGCCCAGTACTAGAAGTTGCGTTGGTTGGGATATTTGTTGCGTATTCCGACCCATCGTTTACCGAATAGAGTGCTGTTTTCCATGCCCAATTCAGAGTGGCGTAAACAGAGAGGTGACCAACCCTTGACTTGGTAGAGGGGGATGAAGGAGATCACGAAGCGCTTGGGTGCTGTCGGTGCTACTCGCCTTCCAGGATGGGGACCGCGTGATCCTCACTGTGCCTGGTTGGAGACACTACAAGATATGGCTGCCAACCGATGTCAGTGGCGTTCTTGTTGTCAGTCTCCATCCAGATTGGCTGAGTGAATGTCTGGAGGTGTAGGCACCTCGGAAGGATTGTGTTAAGCTAGCACTAATTCCCTGTCCACTCCACCTTTACTCTATTCTTTCCATTAAGGCTTTTAAATAAATCATGGTTGTACGGCCGTGAAGCATCGGTGTAGAACACTCATGCTGTCGATGATAATGATGATGACGCTGTATCATAGTACAATGGTGTCAGGAGTCGTTACCCTGCGATTGCAAGACAACTTAGTGGGCTATTCTTCAGTGTTTATTGCCGTCCAGGAGTCAGTTTGCGGATACGGTCAGTGGTTTCACTTCGTGCTTCGCGGGTGGTTCGTCTGCTCACGGAACTTGAGGAAAGAACCTATAGGTAGTAATCGGTTCTAACTGTTCACATAGTCATGGAGAGCTATTGTGTGAGTACGAAGCTTATAGTAGGATGAAAACCTCAGACACATGAATCACAGCAGGTAAAATAAGTTGGCGCTGTTTTCGAACGGTTCTAGAACTCAAGTACGTCCAGACTTTACTCCGTACGTCTGTCGGATACGTGTGATCTGTATGTCATACTGTCGCATAATCATGAGGTCATCATGTGACAACATTATAAACTCAGGTCATCATCGTCCGTTTCATTCATTGATGCGGTTGACCATTCAGCCTAATCCTTTTCGAATTAGGACGAGTAGTGAGCGTCTTTCTAAAACAGATTCTCACGCATTGCACAGCCTGAATTATCTGTGGATGTAATCCGCAAGTCGGTTCTAGTTAGGTTGTGCGCCTGACGGAATCACTGTTAGCGTCAGCACTTAACTGATTTTGGCATACGGTACCGCTTAATGTTTGTGCTCGATAAGTCACTGTTGGTTAACGTAGACGAACAAAATATTGTGCAAATAAAGGATGAGACAGTTAGTTAGAGTCTTCTGTGCTACGCACTGCCATTCGAGTTCTGAACTTTGAAGCCACTTTTGAAAATCGGTGTTTCTAAAAGGATCTCCCGCCAAAAGTGGAATTATATAGACCGTAAATGTCCAGTTTTCGCCCACTGACTCTGTTCCACTCGCATTTCCATACTTGTTTGACCCCTGCCTATTCACCTCTGTACTGAGGATAATTTTTCGACAGCCTCATTGCTGTTGTGCAATAATGGGTGTAGTTTGCAACCATCAATTAACTTATAAGCCGTTTGCTGAGCGGTTGATTCAGCTAGATACTGTTTGACGCAGTCATTGATGGTCCAAACCTGAGGGCCAGTATGAATACGCTTGAGCAAACCAGGTTTCTGAACTTTAGACTATCGTCGCTTATGGAACCTTTGTAAGCTGTGCGTTTTCTCAACCATCGAACGTAGATTCCGCTTCCTCTGTCATAGAGCGGTTGACGCATGCAAGGCCATTCATCCACCAAGTTGGGCTCTCTGAGTCTCTATCGGAACATTTCAAAAGATACCACGTATGGATGCTGGCTTTACTCATTCAGCGACCTAGACTGAATCAGTTTGAACACCCGTTCTGCAAACTGTTGGAAGATCTCGAGGTAGACCTATATCCGGTTGTCGTTACCGTCAGGAAGAGAGGTAACGAACGACCTGGTTGACCATCACCAATTCTGAAGTTGATAAGGTTCCTCTCTGGTCTGTCAGCTGTGTCAAACTTTAGCAACGAGAGTGGTTCATCACTTGCACAGATTTTACCGGAGGTCATTGGGCATGATAATTTACGGAGTACATCATCATCTCGACAGGATAACATGTGTTCAACGCTGATGTTTGGCTCTGCGTAGCCAAACTATGTTGGAAAGCCTTATTATGAAGGAAAGAATAAAAGAATAACAGAAAAGAAAAGGGATAAACAGAATCGGGAAGGGGCTCAGTGTTAGCCTATCACAATCACTCTGTGGTGCCTACATCTTCAAACATTCATTCAGAGAATCTAGATGTAAGCTGACAACGAGAACGCCATCGATATTGGTTAGTAGCCACGTTGGCAACGAGAAGGGCTCGCTATTTGTCTGGATCTTACTGGACGTTGTCTTGCATGGGTAGGTGGATAATATGTCACTTATTGAGTCCTCTTGACCTTATCCACCATGTCCACTCTCATTTGAGCAAATTACAGTAATTACAAGCTTCGGTTAGTGCTTCATGTTGTCTCTGCTCTTCGTTTCCTGTCACCGTGCAACAGATGTGCGATTTGGTGCTGTAGTGATTGGCTATTCCCCAGCCCATCAGTGTGTCGGTTGGCCTCTGTCACACACCATCCACTGTTTACGCCGTTGGAGTTGCGCATCTGTAACCTTGCTAACCCGGTGGAGTTGATTGCCGTTTTTCTCACTCGAGCACTTCCTTATGGTGAGGGTTCGGGCAGTGTATGGTATTTGCCGTATCTCTTTTAGCACTGGAAAGTGGACATGGAGATGGGTGATTCCCCATATCGTATCGTTTTACGTACACATCTCTAGTGGAAACATGTCTTAGCTTCAGGGCCCGGTTTATGGTACCGTATTGCGACCCGTGTTATCCTACAGATGACTGGCTTATAATTTGTCTTATTCATTTCTACGTCTGTGCATTGTCAGAGAATCAAGTTTGAGATGTTTTTATCCAATAACTGAGTCCTGGCCACAAATCACTAAGTGTTACAGTGTTATCTGATTCAACGGTAACTGTTGCAATGGCTCTTTCATTTTCGTTGGTGTGAAGAGATTTGGTGATTTTCAGTTTAGATTTCGTCCTTTTAATGAAGTTATGCTCAAAAGCCGAGAAACAGTACAGCTGTTTCATTCTTGTCAGGAATCGCCAGCTGTGCGCATCTCACGTAACTTCGCAGAGTTTCTAACGCTCGACCTATTGGCTAGTAGTCCGAACCCTTAACAGTTTGGTCAGGAGAGGATGACCAGCACTTAGACAGGAAATTGCTTCACTCATCTTTCAATCACACAAGCCGCATCACGTGGTCGTGCATTGACTAGCTCTTCGAGTGATGAATTCTCAGATGGAATGTGTACTTACCTTTCGAATTTATTCGTCCTCTTGTAGATTGATATTAGTTCTTGGAAATTTCGGAGATTTCGTAAGCGAAGCTAGCCTATACTGGGAATAATCAGTTGTGTGCAGGTCACGAAACTCCGAGGGTTGCTAGTTTCATTTTTGCCCCAGCTTAATTTCGTCGATACCTGTTATTTCCGGCAGTACGTTCTAGTCCGAGTTCGTACATTTCACCCCACCAACGCTAGAGCGTGTTAATAATTGCGGACAAGAAAGTGCGCCACTAGCTTCCTGATGAGTACCTTCAATAATAAAGGGGATTCTAATTCTCCGCCTCGCGAGCGAAATGTGCCAGCGTGGCCAAGACCGGACATCACATTCTTCGTACTTTGTTTCCTTGTCCAGCTCTGCCCCGTCTTCCAATCTAAACTTGTCTTAGCAGATTTAATGCTTTGGAGCACTGAATCAAATGGCGCGCGGATGACACTATCAGACCAGCACATTGGCTGTGGCTGAATCAAATCACAGGTAGTTCAGTTATCAGAAAACAACTCGGGACGGCTTGTGGAGTGAACAGTGGGTGAATGAAGGAGAACAGACAACCGATACCGAGATCTGAAGAGCAGACCCCGCAGTATAGTTGCTTAAAGAAACGTTCCGCGGAAAACATCATTTCATCCCTGATAGTATTGTCGTCTGTCGTCCATTGTGAGAACGATGCTATGCGAACTGGTTCCGGTGTGGATAACATCTTTCCGAATATGCTTGCTCCCTACTCTCCAGGGAGGGGAGGGGTGACCGGAGGCAGATACCCCTAGTAGGGTCAAATCTAAAATACTTCGTTTCAGGGTAGTGTGTGGTCCCCACTCTAGAAGGTGGTAACTATATTTTTTTTAAAATAACCCAGTATTCTCAACGGAAATACGACTGTTGCAATAAAACAGCCACAGCTAGTTTCCCCAAGAATAGTCACTTTGATCGGGCCTCGGGTATTTGTGTTGCATTTGCCTAATTGATTATCCTGATTATCCTACGAGTTGAGCTTCCCAGATTGACTTTAGTTTACAATATTGTTTATTTATTCCCATCTGATACAGGAAAGTAAACAAGGACTTTCGAATTTCGTCTTCACCATCTATCGCTCCGTTTCCTCCTTTCTATCACCCGAAGAGCGTGGAATGCTCATAGCCAAACTAACGAGGAATTCAAATGTAAACTTTTGCAAAGCACTTTGGAGCTTCGCCGAACACCCTCTGATCACAGGTGGTCCAAACGTGATCTTGCCAGCCATGTCAGTCGTTCATTCTTTCGAATTAATGCCACGAAAGCTTCGTGTACCATTTAGATTGGAACATACTTCAGCACCTTTGAATGGGAACGAAACTATGAAACGTCCTCAACGTAAGTAGGTAAAGTTTCCAAATTGTTTCCCATTTTTCTCGCTGACCCAAGTCAACCCCAATGCAACTGGACAGCATGGCCCTTCGGTGCCTTTCCTCTGGTCTTATTCGATTTGGTTAGCCAAGTGTCCGTTATCCTTAATTTTTGTGAAGACATGGTAATACGGTGCAAAGTTTTATTTTTCGAGCTAGGATGCGTTGATCGTCCGTCTGCCACCGCCGCAAAACCGATCATACTCGAGTGGAGCAGTATCCGTAGTGATCTTTTTTGAAGTTCTTTAGCTTGTGAGCTGCCTAACGAGCTCACTTTCTCTCATCAGGTTTGGTTCCTCTTTCACTTGTTATCTGAAATCGTTTGGTACTTCCAACGCTCCCTACTGATTAATGCGCTTCCATGAACCGACTGAATACACAGCACCGCAGTATACTCCCCCCACCCCCACCGATAATATTACGCGTGGCAGTCCTGATCCCTTTAGCATCCATCATGGGTACCAACGGTGAGGACCATAAGCAGCTCAGTCGTTCGTTTGCTTGATCTAATGCGTACCAGAATCCGGGCATAGATAACCTGGATGAATTTTATCGCTGCGTAAGCGACAGTGACAGCTACAGTCTAAGAACAAACAAGGATTGTATCAACGTTAACAGTAGAAGGACCAGAGTCTGAACTACCTTTAAATACCCACAGTTCTTCAGGCTGTTTCTTTGACAATCACCGTTGACGACCGTTGTCTCAGAACTGTAGTTCGTGTTGGTTGCTGTCGGAAAATCCGTTCGAGGCGATTAGAAAGCGAATGTTCGGTTGTGCAACGGGGACTTTCACTGAGGAATGTATCTAGAACCAGAAACTGCGTTGGTTAGGCCATTTATAAAAATGAAAATAAATCATTCAGCTGTAACACCCTTTCGATGCCTAGCTGCCATGCCACACGAAGGAGGCACGAGGGCTGGGACACTGTCAGGTCGCCCAAGTCTAGACAGGGGAAGTCAGGCTGAGGTCGGGTTCGAACCAGTAACCTTCGCGCTCTAACCACTTGGTCCATGTATTGTGTATGCCGAACCATCGTTTGCCGGAGAGAATGCTATTTTCTGTGCCCAATTCAGTGGCGCACTCAGAGAGGTGCCCAACCTTTCTTCTGACAGAGAAGTAAAAAAGAGAGTAAGAAATTTCTTGGTGTTGTCGGTGCTACTAGCCTTCCAGGATGTGGACCGCGTGATCCCCGCCGTGTCTGGTTGGAGACACTGCAAGATATCTGCTAATCGATGCCGATGGCGTTCTTGTTACCAATTTCTATCCAGCCTGCCTGGATGAATATTGTGAGGTGTGGGCACTTCGAAATTATTGTAATAACGTAGCACTAAGTCCATTTTTGTTCTTTTCTTCACAATAGGACTTTCAAATAAGTCATGGTTGTACGGCAGCGAAGCATTATGTCATGTTATCGATGTTGATGTGGAAGAATCGACCTTATGTTCATGGTGCGTTAAGGTACATAAGGATGTGGAGAATATTCAGGTCAGTTTAGTGTGAGTTGTGAAACGTACCAAATGGAAAAAGGTTCTATTGGTCAAACTAGGCTAGCATTATTTTTGGAACGTTGGAATAACCTTGTTCAGGCTCTCTAATGTTCGTTTTTCTAAAAATCACGTCCTCTTGAATTCAGAAATTCCACTTTACGCATCCGTCCGACGCAGCCAATTAAGCGGTACCAGATTCACTGTTTCTTACTTCTGCACTGGACAGTTTCCGTTGCTATAAGGCGCTTCAAATCGAATATGTGCGTCCAGAAAGACATACTTATCCTCGTATGAACCTAAACCAAGTTCACCCCATACCCCTAGCCTTTATCAACCTCATCTCCCTTTTCCATCTCCTACATTTTATATTTCACACCTAACTCCGTGACTCGAACATTCCCCCATCTGCTTATATGCCTTTTCGTACCATGTCCTTAATGTTGATTCTTCATACCTATCCCACCCGGTTCCACACTGTTTGTTTCTTATTCTGGGTGTCCCAATTCCCTCTTTTTCGTATTTGTAATGACAGTAGACGATCGAGTGAGATACCGCGAAACTGCAGGCGTTTTGATGATCCTTTCAAAACGTTGTGTGTTGCTGGTGCCAGCTTCGACTTACTTGGAACTGATTCACCACACTTCTCAAAGTAAAAGTTATATCCAACTGCACTTTTCACGGTGTCTTGTTCTAATCTTTTAACAGGTTTTGTTACGATCAACTATCCAGTAGCACACTTTGGTCCAGAACCTGTTTCTGTGCGTCTCCTCAGTTATCGGTCACGTCCAGGAATGGAATGGGCACAACAACATTTACTGACCAGCATCCTCCAGTCGACGAATCTGGCATCTAAACCGAATGATCTAGATATTCCGGATTCTCAGGTTTTGCACCAGTCACCTCGGCGTTCCTGTTCTTCGCAAACCCTTGGTGCAATCAGAAACCCTGTTCCGTCGCAGTTGGATGGGTTAACTAACTCACCTGAACCGGAGTCGTCGACCGACAGCAGCAGTTCCAACCTATCTCCCTATCTTCTCTTCCACATTCATGGCGGCGGTTTTGTTGCACTGAAATCACAGTCTCAAGATGTGAGTTAACGTCTCCGGCGGAGCGATCTTCAAGGTTATCATTATGTTTTGCGGCTACAGCTAAGCTAATTTCTGCGTTTTAGCTAACTCCTTTGTTATCTCACTTTTGTTAGATGGTTTGCCTACTTTTTCTGCATACAAACGGTCAAAAACTTGACATGAAATTGATGTTGACGAAGTTTCCATGCAGGTTTGAAGCGCCAGTCTTTGAGAAGAAGTTCTCCTTGTCAAGACATCCATTGGGATAACTAGGATGTTTAGTGTATCGTGGTTTGATGACGACCCACTTTAGGTATAACATTGCATTGTGCTGGAACTGAATTATTTGGAAGCACCAACTATGCGCTTTTATTTTGCGTCAGACAATAGGAATCTTGAAGCCGAGGGTGCACTTACTTGCTCTAATGTTGATCTCTTACAGCAACTAAACTGGAGTACAGAACTTCTGTTCGAACCAGCCAGTGTACTGCTGCTCAACTCATCCATATTGTTCTTCTCCAGTATCAAATGTGTTGCAATCAGCGGTTTGGCTGCGCAGAGTTCCAATCCGTACCCTTCAGCTCGTTCAGAACAACAACTTTTCGGGGCGAGAAATCTTCGCAGTATTCATTTTCAGGCTCAGTACGATAATATTCAACTATGAATGAAACAAACAAAAGCGAGAAGTAGGTTGTCGAAATCAACCTAGTTATGGCAATTCAGTATGCGAAACACGTGTAGATAGAAAAGTTCACGTGGCTCACTTTTGGTCGTCAGCCGTTAGACTGACCATTCACGCGGACTTGATTTATGCTTGTCACAGTGCTTTGAACCAACGAAATGTTGGAGGGCTGCACTTCTGACATTTTGCTCTGTGGTTAAAAGCCATGCCAGTCAAACTCCATGTGGGGTAAATACACAAAGTAACGGCTACTAGAGACAGTTTGTTCTTATGACGGTTGGTCAGTTACCGTCGCTTTTTTAGTTTGGCCGGGTTGCTGTTTCCATTAAATACAGCGGCTCATTAGTATTTTACAGGACGTATTGCTCGCGAAACGAAGACGGATAGGTAATGCTTGTGGCATCTTGTGGCTTCATGGGCAAGCTTCTCTCCACAAACCTATCCGGGTAATCGTGTGTACGTGGCCCAGATTCAAGCACCTATTGCCAGTATCCGCTGGAGCGTATGCTATAATTTACGCCCCAGATAGCTCAGTGTTTGAGACATGAACTTACAAGCAGAAAGGCCCGTGGTTCGAACACAGTAGTATTATTGTTTTTATTATTATTCAACTGTAACACCGTTCCGGTGCCCAGCTGCCACGCCAACCAATGGAAGCACAAGAGCTGGGTTACTCTAAAGTTGTCCAAGCCTATATAGGAGCAGTCGAGATGCTGGAATCGGGCTCGAATCCCTGACCTTCCGGTCGGAAAGTCCGCGGCCTAACCACCGAGCCATCGCAAACCCAAACGTATATGTTGGTCCAAGCCAGCAATACCCAACCGTACATGGCTACCACTGCAGATTTTTGCTCCGTCTTTGGCTTGGGCGTCTTGAATTATCCGGGAGCCGGAGTGTTTACCATGTGATATACATGCATGTATGACAGCCCCTCGTAGAGTTTCTATCAGAGTGAACTGTTCGCCGCGGTAAAACATAAAACCCACTGTTAGTGTAGCAGATTTTGGCAAATTTGTACAAACATTACGATACCCATGCAAATGGTTTTTCAAACAAAGTATTATGTTTTTGATCTATCTTACCTCGTACTAGTGTTGCCCTGCAATTCACATTGATTGGATGCAACCTAGAAACAAGCTGACTAAAGTACCTTGTTGCCTGAATGACGTATGTTTACGTAATTTATAGTCTCCTTCTTTAAGTCTCGTCTTTCTAAGTATCCTCATGCACATCGCCATACATATGACACTTTATCTTAGAAAAATGTCTAATCTGACATCGATATGCACGAGCGATAAGTGCCTTATTTTCTTGTGTGATCATCCAGAAAGCACCTGCAAATTGCTGGCTGTCAAAAGTGAGCATGTGGCTCAAGATTAAGTCTTTTCAGGGCGAAGTTGCCGGCATATTACAACGCAAACTTCGTTTCCCCACTTCAGGAAGTGTATGCTGGGTAGGCTCTGGCCAACTCTGAGACCTACCTTGAAATATTGCATGCTTGTGCCCTCTCCAAACATCTCATCACCGGTTCTTTTCCAGTGTGGCTGGCGTTAGTCGGTAAACAAAAGGTTAAACTCTGTAGAGAAGTATGGACGCTCCTTGCCTGACATCTTTTTGGAAGATCTCTTCACAAGGGTTATCACATTATAGAGTTGCCTTGGTGCCCCAAGGATGTCTTCATGTTTCTCCAAATCTGTTATTCTGAGTTTTTTGTTCAGCCTCCCAGCTTATCAGTGGACTTAAAGACGATGGGTTTTTGACCCTTTGTGGCAATAACCTACCTGCTTAACACACATTTGATGATTGATTGTCCGTAATTGATGGTTCAGCTAACCTGCAACAACAGCCTTCCATTGAATGAACCGCTATAAAATCATAGGGAGATACACTGCCAGGTTGCCCAGTTTTACATAAATGGTCGAAAGTCAACTGTGGATTTGAGTAACTAGCCTTAACGCATGATCTTTCTTGAGCCAGCACATGGTGATCGAAAGAAAAGTCCAACGGCATGTGAACTCACTGCTGAACTCATCACATTAAAGCGGTAGTTCTGCATTTTCCTGCTCGACGGTTTTTTACTTAGATCCTATGTCTTCCCAACTACTGTAGCCTTCTGTGCCACTGTTTCTGGTTTTATCCTACATCCTGAAACTTCCAAACCAATGTATATACATCCGTTCAGTGTATATTTACTGGATTATCTTACTTTCAAAGATATTTCTTCGACAATGGGCTGAGTTCCTCGACTGCCCCATATTTTCTGTTGACTATTCGCTTGCTCCGAAAGCCCCGTATCCTCGTGCACTGGAGGAATGCTATTTTGCTTATTGTTGGGCCTCTCTAAATCGGACACGGTTGGGAGCCCAGCCAAACGCCCGAATAGTTCTCTGCGGAGATTCTGCTGGCGGCAATCTCGTCCTTGGACTATGTCTTCGACTAGCCTATACGGGAATTCATCCACTACCTCACGGGGCACTCGTTGCATATGCTCCAGTACTTGTATCTTTCACTCCTAGCCCGGCCAGGATGCTATCGTTGATGGATCCTTTATTGCCAATCGGAATTTTATCCAAGTGCCTTTTAGGTAAGTCCGACTAGACCTTTCATTAGTCTACTTGCATTCGTATATCTGCTTTGATTGGATGTATTACAAACTACTCCCATTTTTCAGCTTAACGTTTCTTTTAATTTTTCAACAAGAAAGCATTATCGGGGAGCTGCTACCCCCAAGAAAGGAAGAGATGCTACGTTCTCATTTCCTCACACATTCGCAAGCCAGCACGTCGAATAAGCATACGATTCTTTTAGATCAGTTGTAAAGACCACTGTTTTTGGCATGATATGGAACATCTGATTAGGTCAGGTGCGCTTGTCACTGCTGAGAGGACTCCATGGGAGGCTCTGCTTTATGGCCTGTGGGTGGTTCTGCATCAAGCCGTGGTTGAAATGACCTCTTCTCAAAGGATTTTGAGGGAAGTGCTCACATACTGTGTTCCCTCGAGTTCTTCCTGTTCGGGCCTACACAATAGCGCGTTTCGGATTTTTGGCAGGTTTCGTGATGACCCTTTTATTGACCACCTTCATATCCGTGTTTCCCCACTATTCTTGTCAGTGGTGTTTATAGATCGCTTAAAGATAACATACTGATCACCAGTCATGCACTGAGGTTTGATGTTGGAGTACTGAAAAAAGTATACACTTCAGTAGCCTCGTCGATCAGCATTGTGCGTGTCGAGTGTATCTTACGTTCGTCCTTATCTAGTTTCTCACCTGTACGCCTCGAAATCGATGCAGATATCCTGAAGGCAGAATCCTAGATGGTGCAGCCATACTGATTTACAACTGATCTGATCATAATGAGATGATCTAATCCACAGTCTATCATGCTTTCCATAAGACAATTTCGTTCAGTGGAAATCTGGATGCCCTCCTACATTAACATGTAAAGGGCGGTAAATATCAGCTTGTAGTCCTCTCATTGTTTGTCCTTGTTAGTCTGACACATTAAGACTGTTAAAATAGCAATCATGTACCGACATATGCCTTGGTTGACCCTAGTTAACCAAGGCTGTGTCGCTCCCGAGAATTACAAATATACTACTAGGACCCTTGTGACAACAATACTGCCTCCAAGTTTAGGCACTTGGATGAGTATAAACGAGGCATCCAGAGGCTGTTTCCTAGCTGTGAGTTTGTGAGGATGTGGTCTCTAGTGAGGTTATGCTCGGCCTCTATAAAGGTTTTAGGAGACTGAGGAAACGTGCCTCTTGTAAAAGATGAAATTTCCAGGGACCAAAATATTTTTGGAACAACAACATGATTCGTTTTTCAAAATACCTTGCATAATTGCCAGACTCTCGTCTCCATATCCGAAAGTCTCTTTCTTCGTGTTCAACACTGAACTCAGGGTTGTCCGTGCGTAGACTTGAATAGTCTGGAAATACTTCGACTCTCCCATTTACTACTTTCCGCTACAATGCACGCAAAAATTTCAGAGTATCTGCACTACTGACATTTGTAGCTTATCAGAGTGGATTAGTGCTAAATTTCATGATCCATCCTTTCACGCAGCCTATGCTGGTGTTGATGAGAAACGACTAAATCCAGACCCTACTGCTCCTCTGCATGATGCGGTGGATACTACTTCCCAGCGCACACGTTCTTCGCTTTCCGGATACCTGTGGAATCGTTTTGTGCCCAGACTGTGGTTGGGTAGCTCTGCAACTCCTGACGAAAACCTTCAATCCACCTCCTCAGAACAAAGTGGAGCAAAGCGATACCATAATCGTCCTCGAACTAGGTTCTCTGTTCCAGTTGGTTTGTCTGAAATGTGCAGGCCTATGGGGAATGGAAGTGCGCCCTGTACTCAGAAAAATGATCCTTCTGTTCCTTCAGAAAGTAAGCACCCTAGCCATTTTCCTGATTCGGTTCATACCTTAGTCACCCTTTTTAGGGAGGGGGACTTTTACGCAGTCACCTACTGTATTTCCCACATTCCAGTCGAGAGCTAAGGGTCAGTACTTCGCTTACAAGTTTCAAACGTTCGTTTTTTATATCAATGCATGACTGAGGACTGCTTCGGTGCAGTTTTCTCAATCCACAAGACTAGCTACATGCTCTCGTTTGAATAGTTCCATCGTGTCTACTCTGCGGCAGTGAAGCATCAGTGCCAACACTGATGTTGCTGTCATTGAGGATGATGATGATGATGTCCACTCTGTATAGGCGACGTCCCTTAGACCCGAGTTCTGCCAATTCACTAATGCCCATGACTCCTAAAGGAGTTTGAAATCCGGACAGCACGCGTCGAAGGAGACCGGCTAACTCATAGGGATAAGTGAGTGTATTTGTCTTCCAGTGATTCTAGCAAGACCACATACCTCAAATGCTTCTGGGTAGTGTTGCCCGAAGTCAGCATTCGTCCCATTGGTCTTAACTTAAACGCATTATATCCGTGCTTCAACAATAATGTGGAATGTACTTGGTGATCAGCCAGTTAAACGGCTCTGGCATCTTCCTACTCCTTACTTTTGAATTCTTCCCCTCGGAATCCTACTCATGTGGAGTCCAACTGAAACACTGGATGTCAAGTTTCCACAATAACTACTATTGCATTTCCCCTTTATACAACTTCTCCCATATGTTGCCACAATTTTTTCTTTGCAAGACGCTTCCGAACCACGGTCGACCCCTGTATTCACCTTACCGGATTTCGAGAATGAATCATCGTGTCGCGAGTCTTCGTTGGGTGTCAGTCTTCCTACACAATGTCGTCTGTCGCCGAGTTTCAATCTACATGATGAACAAGTGCTGCACATGAAACGCGAATTACCCAGTGATTTGGACAGGGTTCGGTATATCTCATTCAACCAAGACTCCTTTATGTCCCCTTACTTGGCCTCGGATGACCTTCTTCGTCAGCTACCTCCACTTGGGATTGTGGTAAGTCATTACTTGCCTTACGGCTTTCATGTACTCTGGTAAATATATATCTCTAAGAAGACGAGTCCGCCAGAGTGACTATCGTAAACATGTATTTAGCGGATGTTATCCATTCTCATATCAGGGTTTTAAGTCGCCCTCTTCTCCAGCCATACACCAAGACCAGATTTTCGAGTCTGTCGCCTCGTTTATTACACTAGACTTCTGCTTTTGCCTTTTTGACGAGATTCATGCACTCATTACAGAGACGTATTTTTCTGATCGCTGAGCTGGACAGTATGGTTGCAAACGTCTCCTCACTAACCGGGGTGATATCATCAGTGCGTTTTTAGGGTGCGAAGTGGAGTCCGGCAATAAATCAATAGTTGTTCTTTGAGTGATGATGCCTATGTGTTAATATACGTGCTGTTAGCCGGGGGGCTGACCTTCAATGACCATTAGCTGTTCGGTTGCACGGTTCCATTAATTGGTCTGGTGTTCTTTTCCCCGACTGGTCGGTGTGTTATTTGTGTCACATGCATGGCACACAAGTCGACTGTCCCAGATTAGAAAGCGACGTACTTACAGGATAGCTTGCACTTGAGGAGGATATTGGTACCTCTACATTGTACTGTTGGTCGTTAATTTGTTTGGTGAGGTGAGCACTTTGGCCGCATACTTTTCATCGCCAGTCAAGTCGATATTGTCAATGCATTGCGGTATGGCTGTCGGTCTACTTGTCAGCTTTCAAAACTAGTTATCAAGAGTTAAAGTCTTCAAACATTGTGGATCGATTCTCGACCAGTGTCGTTGAACTACTAAACGGCTTTTCATAAAGGAAACTACTCATAAGGTTGCTGAAAACACTTCGACAGCCCACGACCGGTTTCGCTCTTCCTGGGGTTCATCAGGTAGACGCAGTTCTCAAGTTTCCGTCAACCTTATGATCTATTTGTACTCGAATTGGACTGTTTTTGAGAAATACACTCATGTGCAAATCACTTTGGTTTGGATTTCTTAGGGGTTGAGTAGCTGGTGACAACTTATTGGTTACATCGACCTTCAGCAGGTGGGGAAGGAAATAGAATGGTTTCCCTTTAGGGTTTATTTGTGGTCAAACTGCCCCCATCTGGGGAAATTCACTTTATTGGTTCAACTGCATTAATTCTTTGGTGTGGCGTAGTCAAGTGTTTATTTGGTTTTGAAGTGAGTTTGCAATTCCCACTCATTAGGGTTTATTTGTGGTCAAACTGCCCCCGTCTGGGGAAATTCACTTCATTGGTTCAACTGCATTAATTCTTTGATGTGGCGTAGTCAAGTGTTTATTTAGTTTTAAAATGAGTTTGCAATTCCCACTCGCTTTTCGTTTATCCTTCCTAATTGCTCCCTTTGAGATCTCATTTCTACACAATCTTAAAAGCTTTAGTTGCTAATAGCAACGGAAATTTCGCATGTGCTCTGCGGGGCTTCCCGTGCTTTTATTTGTCATTCGCCTCCTCGTATTCCTTTGAACCGTTTGATTGGTCATCCTCAGTTATTTTCTCCTTCGCCTAAAAAACTTCGCGTACGGTGTAATTAGCGTTGACCGTAAATTCCTTACCGAACCTTATTGATGTATCCATCCCTTACCATATACCTCGAATTCGTGATCCAGCGTGATTATATATTTGGATGAATTACTCTCATCTTGCGAACAAGGGATTTCAAACTGGTTGAAACCAGTCCGAGTTTTTAGCACCTTGTTGTTTCTCACTTATGAGTTATCAGCATGACCTAGTTTTATCTGTCCTAATTAGCCTACCTGATAGCTGCTTGTTAGTTAGTTATTAGTTAGCTCACAACGAGTGGCGGAGCAAGATTTGATTTTAATAAACTTTCATGGACTGGTTCAAACTTCCATTCAGCTTTGATTGGCATATAAGAACAGTGAAACCTCCTCCGTGTTCATCGGTGCGAATCAAGGAAGTTTATTTGTCCATGGTGTGCGTATCATTCTACAGCTAATTGGCACGCATGCCAAGCATCAGTGTTCTTGTCAAGGGTAATACTATCAGACTACTACGACTCTCGTCTTACTGTTTGTCCTGAACAAAAGCTAGTTCCTGGATGATTTCCGAAGACGGTTCGCTTACCTCTCTCGAAGTGGTCGGCGAAGGTCATGCTGATGAACAAGCAGTTGATCCTCTTTGACAGCCCACCACTTGTGTGTTCAGCTTTTAGGGATGAACATTGGATTTTGTCTGCGTTGTGTTTAGCGAAGGCTGACATGCATAAGATATTGGAACAGAGGACAGCGAACAAGCACACTTCAGCTTTTACCCGCGATCGCCTGTGTACCGTCTGGATTCGAAGTCGTGACGCAATCCCGTTTACCGCGCGTCTCTTCTCAATGAACCAGTATCTTGGGCGGTGAACTAGTTGCACCTCTTTGCGCATATCTCTGGTTCCTGCGGGTCGATCGTCTTAATTCTCGGTGTGATACAAAGATGTTCTTCGGACAGACCTCTTCAAGTGGCTGTAAGCTACTTGGTGATCCGTTGCTATGCTGCGTTTCTAAACTTAGTCACTGTCTGTTTTGTGAACACTTATTGTCGTCGACCACCATTCCGAAGCAATGGTCTGCTAACTGTTTAGTCTGGCTCTATTTTGAGGATTCTCCGCATCACTCCATTCGTCACGCTGTCAAAAAGATATCGACCCTACAAGCAAGACAAAACTGCGGTTGGTAACGATGCAAGCCAGTGGCACTTTAATTTCGTGGTCGTGCTTTAGGAGTGGAAGCCGTTCCAGTCGATTTGGAATAGGTGTATTAGTGTTACGGCCAGAACGTGTTTCAAGGACCTTTGAATAGGGCGGTAATCCTTATCACTATCCGAAGAATGCAACAAGGGGCTGTGCATTCGGAAGCTAAAATACAGTCGTAAACCTCGAACTAAGGTTTTCTGGCACATATAGTAACGTGCCTTTGTTTGAGTTAACGTTTGGTCCTCGGACTTTGGAAATGACTGCTTTTTGATGGGGGGTCAGGAGAAGTTTCTAGGAAAAGTCCCTCATGATGTTGTTTATTTCTGAGAGGAGAATGTCACTGGCAGTGAGTGGCGGAGAGTCGTGATGCCTCCCGTCGATAATCTTTGCTTACTACATTAAAAGGAACTGAGGAATAGAAAACACACCTGAGACCACCTCACCAGTTTACTCAATTTCGTCTGCAAGTTGAAGTATATTTCGAAAACGAAGCTGGTAGGACCGATCACAACATCGTCCACATTCCTAGGTTTGGTGGCCTAATAGAAAAAGTTGATACTGACGACGAAGGGATTATGCCTCTTGGAGTATAGCACTATCGGTCGGGCATAAAATAAATTTTCTGCCAATTACACTCGGTGAATTAGTTTTTGCAATGATAACGATAATGCAATCCGGTCTTTGCTACTAAACACGTTCGTATGATATCGGAACAAGTGTTTGTTGCTGCTACCAAGTGAAAAACCAACTAGTTAAACCAGAAAGGCAGCGGCATTCAGCGGAGAGCACGATTGCAGGTAAGTGGATCTTCAGCAAACGATTTTCATCCCAGCTGTTTTGCGTATTTTTGAAGAAATTTTGGATTTCCAATCCGGATGTTGTGACTGAATGTGCCTTACTCGACTGGATTCCAGTAAACAGTTGTCTCTGAGGTGTTAGGTTGACTGGAATGACCAACGATGGTCGCATTTCTCGATCTCACAACTATCATTTATTTTTGAAGAGCATGGTCACAAACATAAAAAGTGAGTGCAAGCGATGAATGCGAAAGAGTAACAGGAGAATATGGGAGAAAAGAGAGAAACGTCTCATTCGA